GAGAATTCAGTTTCTGCCATATTTCCATCTCCCCACTACACCACTATAATAAGAATCTTCTAAAAATAAAAATATCATCTTTTATAGTTAAAATGCTTCAGAAGGATGGGTGTGGTGGCTCATACCTGTAATCCCAGCACTGTGAGAGGCTGAGGCAGGTGGATCACCTGAGGTCAGGAGTTTGAGATCAGCCTGGCCAACATGGTGAAACCCATCTCTACTAAAAATACAAAAATTAGTCAGGTGTGGTGGTGTGTGCCTGTAATCCCAGCTACTTGGGAGGCCGAGGCAGGAGAATTGCTTGAACCTGGGAGGTGGAGGTTGCAGTGAGCTGAGATCATGCCATTGCACTTCAGCATGGGCAACAGGAGTGAAACTCCATCTCAAAAACAAAACAAAACAAAAACAAAAAACAATCACATAGAGCTGGGAAATGAGTCACATTTGTCATAATCCCAGATCAGGTGCTGATGGGCTCGAGATTCTGTGAAGGCATGTGGCCCATAGAAAATCCAGATGTGGACCCGTGGATCTGAGTCTCAGCTATGCATAAGCTATGCCATGGGGCCCAGGATGTTGTTAGAAAGAAGAGTAGAGGCCTGAGAGCATCACACTGTGTCTTTCATTTTATTGGTTGATATTTTAATTTGTTATCTGTGGTGCTTGCAGTAGTAATCAAAAACCAAGGTTTTAGAATTCATAGTGCATTAACTTGTTTGAAATACTTGTTGAACATGTAATGAATTCACAGTGGTAAGAATAGGCACTTGTGATTCCAGAGGTGGAAGGATATGTGTTCTCCATCATCAAGGAGTTTGCAATCTGGGGTTGGAGACAGATGTGAAAACTACCCAAGGCAGGGGGGCTTCAGTTGTTTCTGACTTGGCCCCTAAGAGAGTGTATTGGTCTTTTTTGTGGTGCTGTAACAGAATACCACAGACTGAGTAATTTAGCAAGAATGGACATTTATTTCTCCAAGATCAAGTGGCTGGCATCTTGTGAGGGCCTCTTTCTGCATCATTCCATGGCAGAAGGCAAAAGGGCAGAGATACTCGAGAGACAGGCTAAAGGGGACTGAACTCATCCTCTTATAAGGAATCCATTAATGAAAGGACAGACCCACTCCTGAGACAAGGGCATTCATCCATTCACCAGGGCAGAGCCCTCATGGCCTGATCATGTTTTATTAGGCCCCACCTCCTAACACTGTTGCATTGGGGATTAAGTTTCCAACACAGGGTCGTGCTTGAGGAAAAACACATGCCTGGGGGAAAATTCATAAATGAACAACTTTAAGGACGGGAAAACAGCTCCTAAAAGGAGGACATCACAGACAGATATTGAAACAGCTCCTAAAAGGAGACTGTCACAGACAGATATTGGATAGGTGGCACCTGACATAAACCTTGATGGATCGGCAGGTGTCAGCATGTTGAGAAAGGAGGTGGGAAGGAGGAGGGGGATGGAAGCCTCTTCTTACTTCACCTGTGTCCCTTACTGTGCTGTGGCATCTCAGAAGCAAGCAAGTGAAGAGAGAAGCAGATGATGTGTGTGGGATCACAGTGTGGAATGAGACTGCTTAGTGAGAACTCAAGAGCAGGCATTGATCAAAGAGGACCCGCTGAGCAAGGTAGGCCAAGGAGAGAAAAGATGAAGACTGATCACTGCTTAGACATATTTTATACTTTTTGGGGGAAAATTCAGTAATGAAGAATTTCAGGGATGAGATAGCTCCTAACTCCTTTGATTGATCTTTATGTTATCTAGGTTGGGCTGTTATAACAGAATCCCATAGATGGGGTAGCTTAAAGAACACAAATGTACTTCTCATAGTCCTGGAGGCTGGGAAGTTCAAGATTAGGGTGCTGACATATCTAGTGTCTGGTGAGGCAGCCATTTTGTTATTATACCCTTACATGGCAGAGAGTAGAGAGAGAAAGAGGTGAGGAGAAACAGAGAGAGAGAGAGAGAGCAGAGAGGTGGAGAGAGAGACAGGGTGAGTGAGGGAGCAAGTACTCCTGTGTTTTCTTACAAGGTCCCTAATCCCATTCATGAGGACTCCACCATCGTGAACTAATTACTCTCTAAAGATCCCACCTCCAACTACCATCAGTTACGAGTTAAGATTTTGACATATGAATTTGGGTGGAGTGGTAAAGGAAAATGATTACCCACAACACTTGTAAAACCAATGAACAGCTTTTCTTTTTTCCTTTTTACTAAACTTTATTTTAAGTTCCAGGATACGTGTGCAGAACGTGTAGGTTTGTTACATAGGTAAACGTGTGCCATGGTGGTTTGCTGCACCCATCAACTCATCACCTAGGTATTAAGCCTAGCATGCATTAGCTATTTACCCTAATGGTCTCCCTCCTGCATCCAACCCTAACAGGCTGTGGTGTATGTTGTTCCCCTCCCTGTGTGCATGTGTTCTCATTGTTCAGCTCCCACTTAGGAGTGAGAATATGCAGCATTTGGTTTTCTGTTCCTGTGCTGGTTTTTTGAGAATGATGGCTTACAGCTTAATCCATGTCCCTGCAAAAGACATGATCTCATTCTTTTTTTATGGCTGCATAGTATTCCATGGTGTGTATGTACTATATTTTCTTTATCCAGGCTATCATTGATGGGCATTTGGATGGATTCCATGTCTTTGGTATTATGAATAGTGAATGAGCAAGCTATTCTACACCAAGCAATTGTCCATATCTCTGCAGAAACTCGTGAATGTTTTACAATTTAATTCACTTCCGAAGCAAACTACCCAGAGTGCAGATTCCAAGGTTAAAAGGTAAATCCTACGAACCTGTGCCCCACTTCAGATGCCAATCACAAGTAATGGGTACCCAGGGTGCCCACACTTCTCTCTGACCTGGCTACAAATTGGTGGTTCCAATGACCTCTTCCTAAGTTTCAATAATTTGTGATAATAGCTCACAGAACTCAGGAAAACACCTTACTTACATTTACTGGTCTATTATAAAGGATGTTTTAAAGAATGCTGATGAGCAGCCAGATGAAGAGCAACTAAGGTGAGGTGTAGGGTGATCTCAAGCATAGGAGCTTCTGTCCCGTGGAGTTGGGCCACACCACCCTCCAGACACATGGACACACTCACCAACCAGGGAGCTCTCCAAACCCCATAGTTTAGGGATCTTATGGAGGTTTCATTGGGTAGGTGTCATTGATTATTAACTCAGTCTCCAGTCCTTCTCCCCTCTCTGAAGATAAGGGGGTAGGGCTGAATGTTTCAAGCTTCTCACCATGGCTTGTTGTCTCTGTCGAGAAGTCCCTCTCCTGAAGCTATCCAGGAGCCCACCAAGGGTTACCTCTTAGAATAAAGATACCTGTATTACCCTGGCAATTTAAAGGGGTTTAGAAGTTCTGTGTCAGGAACCAAGGGCAGAGATCAAATATGCATTTCTTGTACCACAGAAGGACACAAACGTTCAGCCCTAAACAATCCTCTTGCAGGTTTATGTGTTGGTTGCACAAAAGCATGGCTTTGTGGAGAATATATATGGTGCTTTTATTTAAATGTGATTTCACAGCTGAAAGTATTTTTCTAAAAGTCTAAATTAGTTTCAAAAGATTGCACCAAATAACTTAGAACATGCAGCAAAACAAAAACAAAACTCAGCAGGATTCTAAATTCTGTTCTGAAATATATATAATGTGTGTTTTAAGTTGGCCTCTGATTCTGTTTCTCATAGCAATGCTTCTAAATCCTAACCACCACCCTTTAAGTTACACCCCACCTCTTCCATTCCTTCACTTGACCCTTCCTCCTATCTCCTGGCAAAAACACACATCACTAGACATGAGCTCTGTTTTTTTTGGTGCTTTCTAGCTTCAGGCACATGTATTTCTCCATTGTTCCCTTCTTTCCTCTCAAAGAAAGGATGATCCCTTTCATGTTTTAGTCCTTTCTTTTTCTTTCTTTCTTTCTTTCTTTCTTTTTTTTTTTTTTTTGAGACAGAGTTTTGCTCTTGTTGCCCAGGCTGGAATGCAATGGTGTGATCTCAGCTCACTGTAGCCTCCGGCTCCAGGGTTCAAGTAATTCTCCTGCCTCAGCCTCCTGAGTAGCTGGAATTACAGGCATGCACCACCACACCCAGCTAATCTTTTGTACTTAATAGAGACGGGCTTTCACCATGTTGATTAGGCTGGTCTCGAACTCCTGACCTCAGGTGATCCACCCACCTCGGCCTCTCAAAGTGCTGGCATTACAGGTATGAGCTACTGTGCCCGGCCTTTTTGGTTCTTTCTTTAAAAATTTTTTATTTTAGTAAAAACACTTAACATGAGATCCACCCTCTTAACAAATTTTAAGTGCAAATATAAAATATAATATAAATGAAAGTGTCAACGATCATACAGTGAAGACTGGCACGGTGGTTGCCAGAGGCTGGAGAGGGGCCATGGAAGTTGCTAATCAGTGGGCATACAGTTTCAGCCAAGCAAGATGAAGCTCTAGAGTTCTGCTGTCCCACATGGCACTCCTTGCGTTGTCCGTCTGTCATTTTATTTTCGTTTTAAGTCTATCAGCTCAGCTTGTTCTTTGGATCAGTTCTTCCCACACCTCCTTCAGACTCGTTGCAGAGACTATTCTTCTGTTCCGGTATGCGTTCAGTCTTTCTCCATAGGCCCCCTGTCTGTCATCAATAGCCATGCTTTTGGGTCTTCCTTCCAAAAACATGAGTTCTTAAATTTGCTGTCTTCTTGAGTTACCACTTGATTTCTCTCCGTTCTGATATAACAAAGCTTCTTCAAAGAATAGTCTACAAAAACAGTCTGCACTTTTGACCTTTGCTTTTGCATCCCCCAACGTGTCAAGCATGGCCTTTGTCTTGAGTGATGTTTTGAAGCTTATGTCTTAAAAGTTGGCCCTGACTGACTCCCACACCTGCCATGGTCGAGCCCTCTTCTTAGTGCTCTTTCTGAATGTCTGTAGCGTGGGACACACATGACTCTCCATCCTTCCCCAACCTCTCCCGAAGGCTTTCTATGGTCCGGTGCATACACTGAAGGGCCACGAAGTACAGTCATCCCCACTTGGCACCGGGAATACAAGGGTGGAAAGCATCATTTCTGCCAGCTTCTTATGGCCCTGAAGTGAGACAGTCACGCGAAAGGAAAACTGCAATGACTTCTGACCACTGCCAGCCTCGCTTCCTGCATTTTCTTCTTCGGCTTACTCTTGCCAAGTTGGAGTTGCCTAACTTCCAAGAGGTTATTTGCTCTTTTTTTTTTCTCACTCCACAAACTCTTCCCAGGTAGTTCAGTCCACTCCCTTCTCCCAGTCGCTGTATGCCAATGAATGCCAGTATTAATCTTTCCAGCTTAGACATTGTTCTTGGATTGCAGACGTGAGGTTTCACTTGTTTACTAGACATTGCTGACTGAGGATCCCTAGCATAACATGGCCCAAGTTCAATGTATTTGCAAAACTGTTTCATCTCCTTTATTCTCTGTAATGATGTTGCTATCCATTCGGTCAACATACTCAGAAATATCACCCCTTCCTTCCTTCTTCCAGGATGAGTTGCTCATGACATGACCATGTTTTGGCAGTGTACTCTTTCTCCATTCCCATCACTTAGTAAGAATCATCTAGGTTATGCTGAAGTACAAAGTTAATCTCCAAATTTCTCTGGCTCAGTACAGAAAAAGTCCATTTTTGCCTTCTGCGATGCACCCAGTGCAGGTCTGCAGGGTCTCTGCTGCACGTTGTTCCCCAGGGACTCAGGCTGAAGAGGCCCCCTTGTCTTATCTGGCCACCTCCTCTGCACACGGTTCAGGATTTTCCAGGCAAGGAGTTGAGCAGGGGCTTTTCAGTGCTGGGCCTGGATGTGACGTAAGATGCTTCTGCTCACAGCTTCGTAGTCACAACAAGTTACATCATCCTTCCTAATTGCAGGGATGCTGGGCAGCGTAGTCATCCACAGATCAGGAGAGGGATCAGAGGTAGGTGTTCCCGGGCTGCAGTGATCTCCACCGCACTGCTGTGGGCTGAACTGTGCCCTCCACCCCACCAAGCTTATATGCTGCCAGCCTCACCCTCTGTGCTTTAGAATGTGGCTGTATCTCGAGATAGGGTCCTTACAGAGCTAGTTAAGTTAAAGCAGGGTCATTAGGGTGGGCCCTAAGCTACTCTGACTGGTGTTTTTATGAGAAGAGAGATTAGGACTTATAGGGAGAGACACTAGGGATGTGAGCACACAGAGAAAAGACAGTGTGAAGACATCAAGAAGGTAGCCATCTCCAATCCAGAGGGAGATGCCAGGCACAGCCCTTCCCTCAAAACCCTCGGAAGGAACCAACCCTGCCGACACCTTGGCCTTGTATTTCTGGCCTCCAGAACCGCAGGAAAGTACCATTCTGTTGCTTAGGCCGCCCAGCCTGTGGTACTTTGTTATAGCTTCTCACCCAGTTCAGGCCCTTTTAATTGATTGCTGGGCCTTTGCAGTTGTTTTTGCTTGTAATATATTCTTCTCTCAAATTATTTCTGGAGGCTGCCACCAGAGGGCAGAACTTCAATTGGGTCCCTAATCAGAAACCTTGCTGGGATCATGTGGTCTACAGCACAGGGTTGCTAAAGCATCTTCCGCCAGAATTCTGTGAGTATCTGGTTAGGTGGGTCTGGAAAATACTGAGTTTAAAAATGTTATATAGGTTTCTTTACGGCAAGACGTTTCAGAACCTTTAATATGCTACTCTGCTGTATGAATCTCCAGGCAGGAAATCTTATAAAATGTGTTTCTGAAATGAATTTGCACACAAGATCCTGTTTTCTTGAAGCCTCTGGTACTGGGTGAAATGCCCAATCTCTAGTGGGACTTGCAGGACTTTGCAATTGGGCAAACATATTTATTTTCACTTTATCTCTCTCTATCTCTCTCTATGGGGATGCTCCCATCGCACCAAAGTTCTTCCCATCACTTACAAATGGGGTGGCAGTTGTGAGGTGCACCCATCACGTCTCCCTCCAAGAGACCCTACAGGGGAGCTGGCAGCCCCCGCTGTCTGCGCCTCTGGGGCCACTGCTCCCTTGGGCAGCTCCCAGTCAGTGGCAAGGTAGCGGGGTTCTGGAGGAGGCCCATTTCTACCTGAAGTGGGGAAGCTGGGGGTCCTCTAAGAGGCAAACTTCTCAGAGATTCCACTGGGGCCCTGCTGAGCCTGCCTGAGAACTGTGCTTTTGGTCTGAGCGTGTTCTCCCCATCCTCCTTCCTGCCCCCGCTCCTTGCACAGGCCTTAGACCAGCTAGCTGTCTGTGGGCTTTCCCTGCCCCTGGCTGCCCCTCCTTTCCCCTTCACAGCTATTTCTGCCCACATGCACGGTACATGGTTAATCACATCTTGCCATCCGCTTCTCCGAAGACCTGAGTTAACACACAATGTGTGTTCATTCCCTGTGTCCTCACCCCTCCCTGATGTATCTTCTCCCCGCCTCTGCTGGCTGTCTTTTGGGAATCTTGGGAAAGGAATTTATGAGTAATGTTCCAGACAGCCTAGCTTTTAGGGTGAATGACTGGTTCTGACTTACCTTAATACATCCTTGAGTCATGCCAAGAACTGTGGGATGATCAAGGACCAGTGACCTGGAAGCATCAACGGCTCCAAGCTGCTGGCACTACTGTCCTTGGAATTACGAAGAGTGTGATTTTTAGAGTTATGGGCACATTTCTCAGGCCCCATAAATGTGTTGGATTGTGAATTACAGGACTTTTGAGTATATAGTGAGCGGACTACAATTGTGCTGTATGTAGCTCGCTGCTTTGTGCGTGAGGCGATTTTAGGCCATTGAAGGAGTTCAGCTGTCCTCGATATGAGTCATTTCCTAGATAATGTACTCTGCAAAAGCCCAAATAACTTCACAAATGTAACCATTTAAGGTCTTATCAGCCATATATACCCCACTGAGATGAGTATATCATATTTCACATTATATAACATAGAAGTAACATAAATTTCACTTTCTTATTTCTCCTTCTGGAAGCCACCATGCCCTAACTCATTCCCTTTCTAAATTTCAAAATGTCCAAACATTTCCCAGCTTATTTCATTTGTAACACAAACCAGCATTTTTCTTTTTAGTCATAAGCTAAAAACTTTATCATTGAAATCATTTTATACTGCCACGTCTCATTCTTCACTTTCTCAATACGGTGTTCTTCTCATTGGTTAATCAATAGTTTATGAGAGTTCCACATTTTTATCTTTGACTCAGATGTATTGATTGATTAGAGATACTTTTATGATTGTAATTAAAAAGTTTAAGCCTTAAATTTAATGAGAGAGGTATATGGAGGTTCAGAAGAAATGTAAGGAAGTGAGACAAGAAGATAAAGGGCCTCAGACAGGAAAAGTGAGTTTAGGAAAATAAACTGAAGGCCACGTTGATACTGACTGGAAAATGTGGCAGGTTTACTAATTAATCAGTACTAACATGACCACAAAATATATGTTACTATTTTTACTATTGGAACCCACTGTTGAGTAGTAAAGTTGCAGGATAAAGTGTCTAAAAACATATAAACAGATAAAACAATGAAAGTGTAAACAGGTTCATCTTTTTTGAAGGCAGTTTGGTGTGCACTAAAGCGCAGAATATATCTTGCAATTCTACTGCCATGAATATAACAGAAAGTAATTACTGAGCCAGACGTGGTGGCTCATGCCTGTAACCCCAGCACTTTGGGAGACCTAGGCAGTAGATCATTTGAGGTCAGGAGTTTGAGACCAGCCTAGCCAAAATGGTGAAACCCTCTCTCTACAAAAATTACAAAAATTAGCTGGGTGTGGTGGTGCATGCTTGTAATCCCAGCTACTAGAGAGGCTGAGGCAGGAGAATCGCTTGAACCCAGGAGGCAGAAGTTGCAGTGAGCTGAGAGATTACACCACTGCACTCCCACCTGGGTGACAGAGTGAGACTCTGTCTCAAAAATAAATAAATAAATAAATAAATAAATAAATAAATACATAAATAAAAGTACAAGGATGTTTATTACAGTATAATAAATCACAAGCAGGAAAATCGTAAATGTATTATGTTGGTACTAAAGTAATTGTGGTCTTTGCTGTTAAAAGTAATAAATCCATGGAGGATGAGTTAAATAAATGATAATTTATCTATACATGGAAATACCATGTGGCTGGTAAAAATGATGGTGTAAATTATATTTATAGACTGATAAAGTTAAAAAGTACCTGGCATATAGCATTATTTAAAAGAATGAATACCATAATTATTTTGTAAAAGTCTCTTATGGACATAAATTATATATTTACATGGCCATATTTTGCACAGGAAATATGAAAAAGGATATATATCAAATAGTAATGGCTTATTTGTATCTTCTGGGAGTTTTGCAGTGCTTCCCTCTTTACACCATTATATGTCATCTGAAGTTTTGTTCTGATTCTGTATTATTTTATTTCTAAAAGAAGAGCCCAAAACCCAAGTGCTGTTTTCCTGGTCTGTGGAGACAGAGTCTCCGAGGAAGTAGGCTAGACAGGGTAAGAACAAAGTTCTGTTGTGATAAAAGCTTTGGCCTGCGGTTCCAACCATTAAGTTTGCCAGCTCAGACTTGATCTTGAACGAAGGTGGGGTTCTGTGACTGGAGACCATTTCTCTCCCTTTGTATTTGTTGGTGTGTCCAAAAACCTCAGATCTCCCAGCTTTAGGCTTCTTTGAGGGCAGTGCTAAATTGGTTGAAACCTTGAGGCAGTTCCTGAAAAGGGTAGGTGAAATTTCCTGCTGATAAAAGGCATCTTGTATCTTGTTCATCCTTGGCAGATTGCCAATTAGCAAAGAAGAGAGAGCAGATGAAGTACTAGCCAATTTGAAATAGATGTGGACTTCCATCAAGGTATATTAATTCATTTTACCTAGATGATTCGAAATCAGTTGCTTTTTTCTTTTAATCCTAAAAGGATAATTTTCTTCATGTTCTTCTTGTCATGTCAGCCAAATCCTATAGTGTCAACTTTCAGTAAATTTATCTTAGAAATAACTATGGACCAATCTAGATCTTTCTGTCTCTATCATCTATACAGTTTAAAGATTTTAAAACTCTTACCACTTAGTTTGAAATTTTATTTTAATTTATAAAATGATATATTCTTATGTAAAAAATTCAGACAATAAAGATGTATTTAAAGTAAAAGGCAAAAGTTGTCTGTTTTAACTTCATCCCCATTTTTTCACTCCCTTGAGGAAATCACAATGAATTGCTTTGTCTGTCCAAACACACACTTATATGCCAAGTCTTTCCTCTCACAGAATATGCAGTGTGTTTCCTATTCTAAAGAAAAAAAACCCCTCAATATTGTAGCATAAACAATAATGGCTGCATGGTTAGCATAATGCAAGCATATCATCATTTATTTAACCATCCCCATGACAACAAACATTTAGGTTGTCTCTATTTCTTTTTCTGTTTTAAATAACACTTAATGTACATCTTGCACATTGATGTCGTTATGCAAGTCTAGAATTTTGGATGGAGAATTGTCAAGCCAAAAGTGTGAGCATTTTGGTGGACCAAGTATCAGCAGGATTGATGAGGACTTTGGAGCACTTCACAAGCCCGGGTGCAAACATTTCTTTCTCCCAACTGCCCTCTTCTCTGTGTCCTCCAACAGGCACAGTCTGTGACAGATGAGAACAAGTTCAAATTGGCTCCAGGCTGAAGTTTCCACGGAGCTGAGAAGAACGATCTGCATATTCAGTCTCTCACCAGGGAGCTCCTGGAGCTCAGACAGACCCTCAGCAAGGCACACACATTCCTGAAAGGATTTGGGGAGCTGGGCAGTGCTGCACTGAATAATGTAGCATGAGACATCCAGACTCAATGTGTTAACAATAGGAACAAAAGAACATGGAGCTCCATGGACCTGCTGCTTCCCCCAAAATCCCATGACACTTTTGTTTCTGATATCTGTGCTAGAACTTTAGGAAAATTTTACTTTTAACTCTTGTGATGCAGAATTCTGTCATTTTTTGCTTTTTAGATATTTTTTAGAGAATTTTTCAATTTTTAGAGAATTCTGTCAAGTGTTTTCCAGGTGTCGGCAGCCCCAAAGCCATGGTGACATGAGCTTACCTGCAGCATGTGTTCCTATCCTGACCACGCATTGGTGTTGACAGGATTTAGGGCAACAATCCCCCTTGTGGCTTCATCGAGATGGATTGGGCTGCTTCAGATCAATATATAGCATATAGAGTTTCCCAATTTTGCATGCTGTCAATAATGAAGATCTGTTGATTTCTGTTTCTCTACTCCCCAGAATTGTACCATTTTTTGTCAATAACAGTTTCAAAGCTTGGCCACCCCTTTGGAGGTGCTCCGGGTTGATTGTCCCTGGAAGGAGGTGCTCCCGACTGTGACAATGGAACAAGAACTGCTGAAATGGAGGGGTAGATTCCAATCATCCAATACAGCTCTGTGTCCTGAGAGATAATTGTCTATGGTGTCGTGGAATAGCGATATCATGGAGTAAAATCGAGAGTGGAGGTGTTACATACAGTCAGGGCAGTTCCATGCAGAGCCAGAGTGCTGAAGGCTGATGAAACAAATTCACTCATGTAAATTCCCTCAAAATACATTTATTGAGCACATTCTTGGCACTGTTCTACAGACTGGAGGTATGGAAATAAAGTCCATGTTCTCATGGATCTCACAATGGATAGTGTGAGAATTATGCGAAGAAGCTTAAGTCAAAAGGTAGAGAGTCACCCCTTTGGAGGTGCTCCAGGTTGATGGCTGTCCCCAGAAGGAGGTGCTCCTGACCACGAAAATGGGGCAGGGACTGTAGGGTCCTGGAGCTTATGGAGTAAAGTGCTGGTAACTTTG